ACACTGCTAAGTGTCAATGGAGCAGTAAAGAAGAATCAGCTCCCACTGAGAGCTACTGCTTTAGACAGACCATGATTCCAGAAACTGGGGCATGTAGACACACTACAGAGAAAACGGAGAGAGCTTACCACCTTTCCTTTCCAGTCAACAGTTTAAACAAGTTTTGCAAAGTGCTTCAAATGTTTTTCATGAAGTACTTACCAAGTATGTACCCAGAACACAGCAGGCCTAATGATAGGCCTACACAATAGGGGGATAGATCCTGGAAAGCAGTTTGTCAGAGCATTAGAAGAAAAAGAGAGATGACACACTGTAAGCTAATTACCCAGTAGGAATTAATCTCACATGGTAAAACAACACTAATTAGATTTTTTGAGACGAAGTCTCATGTAGCACAGTCTGTCCTCAAGCTCTACTTTGCCTCCCAAATGCTAGACTGCAGAAGTCTATTACCATGTCATTTATGGGATGCTGGGGCTCAAGCTCAGGGTTATGTGTGCTGGGTGAGCACTCTGCCAACTGAATCACATTCAAGCCCAATTTCCATTTCTGTATGCCATTAATCGGCATTTTTATTAACTGTACACAAATTCAACGATTTAGCTAAACAAAAAAACTAACTCTAAACCAAGTCATGCTCCTTTCTGTCTACCAGTACACATCAAACTAAATGATCCTCCCCACCTGCCTTGGAGCTTCCTTGGCTTCTATCCTGCAGAGGTGCTGTCACAGGCTGAAGATACAGCAAACAGCTCCCAGATGTTCAGATCTGACAATGCCCTGTTCTCATTAAGAGATCGGCCAGCTTTAAGAAGGGTGGGGAATTATTCAGTCGCAAGTTTTCTGAAATAAAACTCTTCCATCCCAGAAACCACCTATGAACAAAGCCTTGTACAACACAAGGGACTGAGGAGGGGTCAATTTTTATTGAGCAATGAACCCAGTAAATTTCAGTGTTTTGCACTGAGCTGGCAATGCAAAGCCACACAGGGCAACGAAAGTGTCTGGCAAAGTATGCAGAAAACCAGACATATAAACTCTAGTCCCTACATGCCTATCAAACTATCCCTCATCTTCCTGTTCTGTGAAAGGAAACCTGGCTCCACTAATGGGCTCAAGACAAAGCCTGTATTGCTGAAACATCCACTATCCAGGCAGCAGCAGACCACCCCTAAAGACCAGCACCCCACCCCCCAAAGTTGGCTGTGTGATCTCCTTTGAGAAAAAGGACACTCAGTTCTTTGTTGTCTTGTTTTACAATTATTTACTCTGCCCATAGAAATCTGACGGGTTTTAGAATGCTTGGGTCCATAGTATTATCCATCTTCCCATCACCCTGGTGTCAGAGAATGAGCTGGGCCTTAGAAGCAAATATTTTGCAAGACTTTCTTTGAGAAGAGAATCCATGAGGTAATTTTGACTCTATGTGCTGTAAGAACAGGATTTCAGAAACAAAGGATAACTGTGCCCCTCTTAAGCTTCTCGGTTTGCAAATGCCTACCCAGTCCCTCACCAACTCCTGTGAAACACTTCCTGATAATTCTACACTATGCTATACAGAGGGGGTTAAAAATCACCTCTTCTACTTTGGTATGTATATGAATGTTTGAAAAACAACATTTGTTTTAGAATATCTGCATCACAGAGCTAAGTTACTGCAGCACCACTGCTAAACACCTGGCTCTTCAAGGAGAGACATGCAGCAGATAGCCCTGGCATAAAGACTCTGCCCAAATAGATTGTTTAGAATAAAGGACACTATAATTCATTAACAATTAAGATCTTGTGTCAACTGTAAAAGGTCTTTGAATTGTTGCTGGAGCAAGTGCTACTTAACTTCTTCTCTCCAAAAGTTAATTACTTAAAGAACAAAAACAGCCAGCCTCATGGTCTGATGGCTTTTTAAAGGCTCTCTCCAAGCTACATTTTTATTCTTCTGTTCAAAGCTTAACTAAACTCTCTCTCCCTCTCCTGCCCCCCCATACATTACTTCTTTAAAAACATGTTTAAGGGCTGGTGAGATGGTTCAGTAGGTAAAGGAACATGCCACCAAGTCTGCCAACCTGAGTACAATCCCTAGGATCCACATGGTAGACAGAGAGAACTGACTCCGAGGCACCCACACACATATACCTACTTATACCACAACACACACACACAAAAGTTAGTTAAAGCAAGATTTAAAATAAGGGAAGAGGGTGGGGAGGATGGCTCATCTGATAAAGGCAACTGTCACTAAGCCAGCCTGGGTTCAATCTCTGAGCCCCACATGGTGTAAAGAGAGAAATGACTTCTACAAGTTGTCCTCTGACCTCCATATACCACTATGGCATATATACACACAAAATCAGTAAAATGTAGTAAAAATTTAACACTCACACAAAACAAAACAGAGGAGCCCACAAACAAAACTGAAAAACTAAATTTACAAGAGGAACAAGAAATGGCCAAAGGTTTTAAGGCACTGTTACTCACTGTTTCCTGACAGAGTTGTTCTCTATTCAGAAGGAAGGTAAATTTAGTATGAAGGCCTTAGCTACTCTGGCATTTATGAAAACATTTTTGGCAGGTGTTCTGCCAAACAGTCTATATTTAGTATGTATGTCTCAGAAACTTAAATGAACTCAAAGGGTCTGCACTGTCAACAGGCAGCCTCCAGAGCACTGAGCTGTGCAGCCACGGGGCGGCTGCCATACAGAACACTGGGCTGGGCGCCCTGCCACAGCATACACGTGTGCATGCACACGCCAGTCCTGAAGAGTTTCTGTTTTCAAAGCTCTAATGGCTTGACCTCAACACCTGCTGCACTTCCTGAAGACAGACAGGCTCTGGAGCTCCACTTGTTCCTCACACACGGCTGCACTTTCTAGGAATGACCGCACACACACAGAGGCTGGCCAGCTGCCAAGGCGGGGGCAGCAGCCGCCTCGGGCCTGAACTTTCCCAGCGCTGTCAGGGCGGTTCCTGCTATGAGCTGACTCAGCGGCCAGCATGGAACTGTGCCAACCACACAGCAGTGCAGGGGCTGCCGGCAATTCACAGATGTTTTACTAAACCAAAGAAATCAGCCAGGAGGCAGATCTGGGCTGGTGGCCAGGGTGCTGCTGTCGTGGAAGCCGGGATGCTGATTCTAGTGTTAGCTTTGCTGCTAAGGGAGATCTTGGGTGATCTGTGTCTCCCATCACCTTCTCTGCTTCACAGGGATGCCCATTAGGATGTGGACAAGGAAGGCACAACAACTGTACAAGACGACTCCTGCAACACATCTACCATGTGGCACCAGACAGGCATTCACATCTTTCACTGGCTCTCTTTACAACATCCTTGAGAAATGTCTTCTTACTAGCAGTATTAGTACTGTTTTTACTCTGTACCCCAGGATGGCCTCAAACTCATAACCCTCCTGTTTGAGTTTATGAGTATAAACCATACTTAGCTTCATTATTTTCAACCTGCAGTTGATAAAACACTGGCTCAGAGCAATTTAGAATGCTACCAAAAGATCACTGAACAGACACAGAAGCAATGGGATTAGACCCTACTGTTGACACTGCTGTTATAAAACTCAGGTAAACTGCACAGGGCACCTTGAGTCAAAGATGCCTAGTTTTCGGCTTCCAAAGGACCTTTTCAACTTTGACTTCCCAGGTGCCCTTTTTAAAGCTACAGCTCTTCACAAATGGCTTCTAAGTAGCACTACTGGACTACACAGACAGTGTATGTGTAAACTCAGAATATCTAGGCTCTAGTGGCCTTATCATGAATATCCTGTCTATATTACCAACAAGCTACCCTGGAACTACTTACCATTATTCTCAGACTTTGAATAGTAAAAAACCCGAAGTGTAGGTCACAATGAAATTATAAAGACAAAGGCTTAGTTGAGAAGAGATCCCCTAGGCCCCACCCTCCAAAACAATTCATTACTAGGACTCCACTGTCTGCCTTTATAAAAAGCTTCCTACTAGCATGCCAGAGGCCCAATTCCTAGCATCATCAAACTCTAGCCCCACCCTCCCAAAGAAACAAGTAAAACACCCTAAAGTTGATTCTGACATGTGATAGTGCTGGGACTAAAGGCGTGTACCACCACAGTCCAGCCCTTCCCTCTTTCTAACTAGATAAAGTAAAGATAAAACAGAATCATGTTTATAAGGCTCTCTGTTGAGAAATACACATAAGTGCTTTTTAGCAGCTATATTCAACTTCAAAACAACAAAAGAACATACATGATCTTTGGTTTACTTGGAGCGAAGAAATTTGTAGGGAAAATTATTCTACATTCCTACTAGGAAAACTTATTAGAACCATGAATTTCATTATTTAAAATTTTTTAGACAAGGTCTCACTATACAGTCCTGGCTGGCCTGGAACTTAGTATTCAGACCAAACTAACCTTGAACTCACTGAGATCTGCTTGTCTCTGCCTACCAAGTACTGAGATTACAGGTGTATACCACATTTTTTTATTATGATTACTACTAGTATTATTATTATATTATCTTCTGGTTTTTGAGACATGGTTTCACTCTAGAACTCATGGTGAGCCTCTTCTACTACCACCTCTTAAATGCTGGAATTACAAGTGTGAACCAACCACTTTGTTTTTAGATAGTCCTAATGAGACACAGCTGCTAGCTACCTCATTCTTTCCTTAAAAATAAATAAATAAATAAATAAATAAATAAATAAATGAGAGATTATTTAACAGAAACTTGGAACAAACAATATTAACAGTAACTTTTACACTCTAATGCTTTAATAAAAAAGAACCATCGCTTAATATTTTTGGGATCCTAGAGATTGAATCTAGTGCCTTACATTATCATGGAGCTACACCCTCAGTTCAAACAGACAAATGCCGAGAAAAACTTCAGTTTATTCATACATAGGGCAGTGACATGGGGTGAGAAGGCATAGTCCCAGCTCTTGCCCATCCAGCACCCCCTATAGCTGACCTATAAGTAGAACAAATGGCCTCCCATAACACAAAGACTGACCTGCTTAAGCTGCTCATCCAGACTCCAGCTCGGCTGCCCAGCTGTGGGGACGGAAGCTGGGGCCTTGGAAGCATCTTTGGTATGGTCTTCCTTAGCTGCTTGTCCCTGTGGTGGGAGTCCAGGTGCTGGAAGCAGGCTGGACATGGGTGCTGCTCTGGGGTCTTGGCGAGTTGCTTTTTGCACATGGAAATATTTGGATGCAGCCTGGGCCTCTTTTTCAACCATTTCTGCAACATCTTCATCTCCATCTTCGTCTTCCAAACCTCCTTCCTCTTCCTCAGGCTCAGAGTTGATGTTGCTCTGCTCAAATACTTGGGTCACTGGTGTGGCTGTCGTAACTCTAGCTAAGGGACCCAGAACAGGGCTACCAGAAGGTCTCCCAGGTGTGACAGAAAGGAGAGTAGACTGGGTGGCTAGTTTGGGGGCATACAGGAACTGTGCTTCTCTTGTCTGTGGGTTCTGCTTCTCTCTGGCATCCATCTGTAGAGGAGCCTGGTGTGGCTGCTTTTGTTGCTGCTGCAGAGGCTCCATTACTGTCTCAGGCTTCACCCACAGACTGGCATGGCTCTCAACCTGGGCACAGCCCAGCAGGCACACTGGGTCTATATTTTAAGTGAGTAACCAAAACCACAAGGGGGGAAAATATGTAAAACAGGTATAAAAGATTTTATTTTCTCCAGTAAAGTTCTGAACTAAATGCTCCTAAACCTGATTTTCAAGATGAGTAAGTTGTAGGGGTTTGGAGGGTGGGGAGGGAAAGTTATAAAGAAGAGAACAGTATCAAAGAGGGGAAATAGGAGACAAATCTCAGGAATGGTAGACTTAAGGGGTTTTTTGTTTGTTTGTTTTAAAAAAAAAAGGAAATCCAGAATATATTTAAGTCTGCTAACAACTGAGCTCTCATCTTTTACTCTCTACATTATCACACAGTTATCTACTGGGCTTGCACTGTACAGGGATGTGAATTATGAAATTTGTTATAATAACTATAAAAATTGCAGTTAACAAGGACAAAAAAAATGGCCTGACTGCAAAAGAAAGAATACGGCTTATATTCCCAAGCCCTTTGGAGAAGGAGATTCCTACTCAAGTTAGACACAGAATTATAGCACACAGACAGAATGACTTTTCTGATGGAAAAAACAAGACTAAGCAAGCTGCCCTTGCTTTAAAACTTCACAAATTTCCCAGATCAAATTGCCAGTCAGCTTGTTGAGTGGACTGAACCAGGCTAAGTGGACATTATAGCCTCCAAAAGAATCGGGTTTCAACAACATGAAAGAAGGAAACATGCAAGGAGGCAAGAGTCTCAAATTGCAAGCATCCCTCAAAAACAAACAGGGGTGGGGGGAATTCCTCTGGAGATTTTAAAGTTAATTAATTTAAAACAGGTACCAATATTGTCTAAACAAGTCAATGTTTTTTTTTTTTTTTAAATAAACCACAGGTAAATCTCCTCACATCCTCTTTCTTTCTGATTCACTTCAACTATATTTATTCTATGAATACAGTAAGAAAATGCTTCCAGTCCCAAAGTATTCTGGGGGCAGGTTTATCTGCATTCTTACCCACCGGTCTCCAAACACAAACCCCTTTCACACCCTTCCACTTCTAACCCTTCCCAGGCTCCCACCTTCAACAAACCTCACTTAAATTATATTTTCTCACAGGTCTTCCTAAGTGAACGGATTACCATGCCAGAGCAAATTTTAGGGTGAAGAGCACTGGCAACAGGGTGTGCAATTTTGTTGCCACATGAAAGGGGAAGCTGCACTGTGCAGGTTGAGACTTGATATTTCCATTGTCCCAGTGTTTTAGGACTGAGTTGGAAGAGAAATGAAATCATCTTGAAATGAACAAGAAAAGGTAATCTTTGCCATCTTTAAAAATTCACGGGGAGGTAATCCTTAACAAGGAAAATGGCTTTGATTTATAAATTTTTACATGCTTATAGGGGCACAATTTTTACAGCTCAGAAAAAAACAAACAAACAAAAAACAACTAGAGCCATGGTAGACAATTTCCAATTTGTTTCTTAGAAGCACTTGGTTGTAGCTTTCAGAAGCGGTTAAAAGATTCAAATTCCAATTTGCCTCTTACTGCCTGTACTTCCTCTTAGCAGTTTAGAAAGTATAAGTTATGCCTGCAGCAATACTTTCATTCTGCTTTAGTTCTTATTCCGTAAGGAAGCCTGAAAGGATTTACACCCGGTGGGCAGAAGTATTCATTTAAAATAAAAACCAATTTGGGGACAAAAATACAAAACAAAACAAAACACACCACAGAAGAGTAACAAGCAATTCACAGGTCATTTGAAAATATATAATCATTGAAGTCAAACCAACACAACCGGAATATTTCAACCAACTCCTGCCAGTCACTGTAAAATGTTTCTTGTCTGATTGGTACCATCTCCTCCGTAGGCTGCCCTCAGCAGAGGGGGAGGTATCCCATAACCTCTTTATTTAGTAAGACAGAGATGACTCGGTTCTACAACTCAATTGGCCATTCTCCCTCACAGAGCCCATCTCATCCCAACCCCTAAGCAGCCAATGATCCAAACAATACTACCAACATTTAGAGAACTTAACGCTTCAGAAATCTAAACCACTTCATCCCTTCATTCCTCGCTCTGTCCTCTAAACTTCCCGGACCTCCAAACCGGGCGCAACGACTGCTTGCCGCTTGAGCCCGGCCTTGCTGACCATCTCCCTTGCCCTCCTCTCCAGCCGCTCTGTCCCCGACCCTCTCGAACCCCTCTTACCATTCTTTACCCCCCTCCCAATGGAGCCCTATCACTTTTACTCGCACCAAGCCCTCTCTGCCAATCTCCAGGCTCTTCTCCAAGCACCCCAACCCCACCTAAGCTCGCCCTGAGGTTCCCCGGGGGTCCCTTACCTTTCCCATCCTTTTATCTCAAACCACTCCTGGGCACCGGGAGGATCCGGCTCCTCCCGGCACTCTCACTTTTCCTCAGCGGTTCCCCTGCTTCGCTGGCCCGCATCTCCCCT